GGTGGTGGAAACTGGGGTGGTGGAAGACAGACGGATGGGGTCAGTGGCCCTTCCCTAGCCTTCTCCAGAAGTTCTCAGCATGCGGTTCTCCATGAGGAGGAGGAGTGCTGGTCCAGGGACAGATGGTCCCCCACATTCTGAATGGCCACATTGAGGTGCTCTGCTGGTCTCTCTCCTGGGAACTCTCTGAAGAGGCTGCAGCATACTCTGTCATGGCGGTGACCAGTTTACCGCTCCATTCAGCCTCCTCTCTCCTGCCTGTGGTTTTCCTCACCCTCCCATACTCATTTTCTTCCCTTTCATGCAGTTTCTTCTGGGTTGTAGTCTAGTAGGGTTTGTTTAAATAGGTATGGATGTGCCATGAAAGACTTGAGGCTTCACACCAATGGGCAGCAAGCATGCAGAGCCCTGAGATGCTTCTCTTCAAAACCATACCCTCAACATCCTCATGGTACTTGCTCATTCCCCAGGGCAGAACAAGTTTCAGCCATTCAATAGCTACCTGACTTCATCCTCATAAAGCCCCCGTGGCTCAGGAAATAAGGATAGTGGCTCTCGTTACAGGCTCCAGGACTTGGGGAGCAATGAATGGTCAAGACTGGCTTGCTGGACAGCGCCCCTGATTGCCATAGGGAGGCGTTTTGGATGAACAGGCATGGGTGGGTGTAACGCTGCACAACTACCCATGGCAGCATTTTTACAGAGTGCCTTTGGCCAGCTGTGCTCAGCCTTGGCAGTGAGAAGCAGCTGCTTCGGTGTGGGGATCTTCGGGAAAGACAGATAAGGTTCTTTCCAGTCTTTTAATGCCCAGTTAAGCCAACAAGAGGAGACTGGCTAACTTTGCCATCACTTTCCATGTCTTCAGATGCTGTTGGCATGTTGGATAGAGGATGCAGGAGTGCTTTACCGCTACACAGTCTCTGTCCAGATAAATAAAAAAGGCTTGCCTGGGCCCAGCACAGTGACCTCCAACCATGTTTTCAGGCTTGTGTTATTTTAAAACTTACAAGCTCCTCATTCTACTCAATGACAGATCCGGGTGTAACAGACCTCCCTAAAGCAAATTCAGTCAAATTGAAATGATCCACACAGGATGAGGCAGACACAGACTGTGGCCCACAGCTCGGGGCTACCACCTTGGGTCCTGGGAGTGGCTCGTCTCCGAGCAGAACAGGTGAAGAGAGAGCTCAGCCTGGGTCAGAGGCCCCAGTCCCAGCCCAGCTCTGCTACGGTCAATGACCTCCAGCAGTTGTCTTGTTTTGGGGTGCTAACAAAGGGGAGCAGTGGGCCAAAAGTGTCCCGGACCTGACAGCTTAGAAAGAGCTGCTGAAGGTACCCTATTGTTCTGGGAAAAGTCTTCAATCTTTGTTTTTAGCCCAGAAATGACAATTTTAGTGACATCAGTGGAAAGCGTCTTTAGTAAATTCTAAATGACAGAAGGAGAAAATAGTATTTTCTTCCTATTTAAAAAAAAATCTCAGTTAACCCCATCTGACTTCCCAGGCTGGAATTCTAGGTGTAGGCCGCCATGCCCAGACTTTCACACGGGTGACGGGTATTGATCATAGGTCCTTGTGTTTGCAAGTACAGGGCCAATGGAGACATCTTCCTCCCTAAGTGGGTCTCCTGACTCGGGAACCTGTCTCCACAGGAATGATTGTCAGAGCGTCACAGGCCCTGAGAGCAGCTACTTGTGCTTTAAGAAGCTCTGGCAACCCCGGAGGTGTGGTGCCAACACAAAGCACCCACCTCCATTTTCGTGCACATAAGGAGCAGTCTACAATGCCAGTTCCTAAGTCACAACATACCTGCTTCCTTCCTTGGCATCTACCCTTGCTCCATGCGAATGACTCTCCCTTTGAAAAAGAGCCTATTTACCGAGAAGTGTTAAATATAATTGAGGAGACCTATTATTGTTTTTTTTTAAAAAATTTATTTATTTATTATGTATACAATATTCTGTCTGTGTATATGCCTGCTGGCCAGAAGAGGGCACCAGACCTCATTACAGATGGTTGTGAGCCACCATGTGGTTGCTGGGAATTGAACTCAGGACCTTTGGAAGAGTAGGCAATGCTCTTAACCTCTGAGCCATTTCTCCAGCCCCCAAGACCTATTATTGTTTTGCTGGCAAAAGTAGTCGAAAGGCAGGACCCCTTGTGGCATGTGTGCTGCCGGACAAGGACAGCCACACGTGGTCGCTGAGGGACCCTGGTATGGCACGGGTCTGAGGGACACACAGAACTACTTAGTTCTTACGCGTCCTGTAAGAAGCCTGTGGCCTGACACTTTGGTCTGAAATATGTAGTTAGAAAAACGTTTTGCATCTTTGACAGAAGATATGAATAAATAGATGGGCTGAGTGTCTCCCTCACCCACCCCAGTGTCCCTGAAGTGACTATTTCAGATGTTACCCTGGCAGGACCAAGCCATTAATTATGGCACTGGAGCATCAGGTGACTGGGTATGTGATGTCGAAATGTTGAGCGAAATCCCATAGAAAGCTCCCTGAGAACTGGAAATGCTGTATTAACCGGAGACTGGATGCAGCCTCTGATGCATGAGGCGTGGCCAGGGCTGGATGCAGTTGCCAGCATTGAGTGTCTGAATGAGAGTTCGTCTTGTGTTTCTGGCTAGGTTTCTAGGCTAGTCATACCCCTGTGGCTATTAGGGGGACCTGGGGCCTTTAAGAAGACAGAGCAACAAGGTTTCCCAATCTATCCCCGAGCAAGCCTTTGAGATAAGAGATTAATTAATGTTGCAATGGACCCAGTGAGGGGGCAGAAGGGCGACTCAGGGCTTGACATGTCCCATGGGGAGGGTCGAGCTGAAAGAAGATGGAGAAGACAAGGCGTTGGATCCATCAGCCCAAAGCAAAGGACAGATGCGAGCCTAGCTCATGGACTCGACAGAGGAGAGATTTAGGGGCCAGCGGCAGTGCCCTCAGGGTCACCCAGCTCCTCTACCATTAGTTAGATTCTGCCAAGTGGCGGGGTCCTATAAATAGCCGCCAGGGTGACATTGTCAGAGGCCCGCTCCTCAGACACTGTGTGAAGGACGCTGGAGAGCCCCGGGAAGCCCATTTGCTTTCTGGGCAGGAATAGAATGCTCGCTATGGAAAATAAAGATTTTATGTATTCGTACAGATTATCCTATAAATAAAGTTTACATCCACCTTCCGGGGGTCCAGTCCCCCAGCTCTGTTGGCACCCCATCTGCCTGTTGCTTATTAACAGTTCTGGGGAACAGCTGCTGCTGCCCTGAAATATCGCTCTAGTCAGTCTCGGCCCCGGCGCAGGGTGCAGGCTCCTTACTGAGGAATGATGACTGCCCATTAGTGCGCTACGAGGAGTCTTATGCTGGCTCCAACGCCTCCCTGAAGTGTTTCTCGGAAATTAGATTTCAGGAGAACAAAATCACAGAGGGCTCAGAGGCTGCAGGAGGCGGGGATCTCTCTTTGTTTCTCATTTGCCCAGTAATTAATTTCTTCCCGGGCGCAATTTGAAGGAAAAGATTGTGTTCATTAATTTATCGTCCACCTGTTCCTGGGATTGTTTTGATCGCTTTTCAACAGGAGACTGTGGGCCCAGAAGGGAATCTTAATGTCATCCCGAGAGCTGGCAAAGGGGTGCAAGGAACTGTGCAAAACTGTGATTTCATCTCACAGACACAAAGGACCCAGGATCGGCAGTCAGTCCTTGGGGTCCCCAGGGGCAACTCTGTCAGGGAACCCACGTCTGCTGGTATCTCTGGCTAGCACAGGTCTCTTGTCTACCGTGTTCTCTATCTATTGCTAGGATGGCTCATGAATCTCCTATGCCTGCAATGTATCTGCAGTGGCTGGGCAGTAATGCACTCACAGAAATGTGGGCAAATTGAATTATCCAAGACAAATGCAGAGGGCTTGAGTCACCCCCACAAGTGAAACCGCACCAGCACCTTGTTTTCAACCATTTGTTATTTTTATTTAGACACAGAAATTACAGCTTGGTAGTGTTCAGAAAATTATATTTAACCCTCATTTAGATTCAATCTGAATCAGTTTAATGAAATGTGAATAGCGCTTTGGGTTTACTGAGGGGAAGGAAAGAAGTCTAAACCAGGAAGAAATGCACCTGGTGGTTTTCTGGGCCAAGCGGATGTCACTCTAGTCTCCCATTTGGCGACAGCACTGTTTGCCTCCGTTGTGCAGATGAAGAACATTTCAGACCCCAGGAAAGCAGGCCTAGGGCTTTGGAGACCCTGGTGTTCTGCTGTTTGGCTCTTTGTTTTACAGGAATCTGCAGGCCAGGCACAGTGCCGTTCTTGCAGGCTCTATGGCAAGCAGATGGTAGCCTCCCCTCTTATAGTCTCCGGTCTAGTGGGACAAACTGACCTTGACCGAGTTATCACAACAGAGATGAAGTTATACGTGGGAGACTGAGGATGCTCTGCTCTGGGAGTGAGAAGGCTTTACTGAGCAACACCTTGACAGATGGAGAGCGTGAACTGGAGGTAGGGTGTCAGGAACTCCCTCCAGGTGAGAGCAGCACGTGGGAAGCCCCAGTGGCCAGCTAGAGAGACGGTGACATTAAGACTGTCTTAGTTAGGGTTTCTATTGCTGTGAAGGGATACCACGACTACAGCAACTTCTAGAAAGGAAAACATTTCACTGGGATTGGATTAGCTTCAGAGGGCTAGTACATTACCATCATGGTGGCCATGGTGGCATGCAGGCAGGCACGGTAACTGGAAGTTCTGCATCTTGATCTATAGGCAGTAGAAGGAGACTGTGTATCACACCAGGTGAAGCTTGAACATGTAAGACCTCAGAGCCGGCCCCCACAGTGACACACTTCCTCCAACAAGGCCACACCTACTCTAACAAGGCCATACTTCCTAATAGTGCCACTCCTTTTGGGCCAAGCATTCAAACACATGAGTCTATGGGGGCCATTCCTGTTTAAACCACCACAAAGGACAACATTTCTAAGATGAAGAATGGATGAGCATACCATTATAAAACCTGAAGAGGGCTGGCTGTGGTGGCTCATGCCTAGAATCCAGCATGTAAGAGGCAGAAGCAGGAGGATCGCTGAGAGTTCCACATCCATCTGGGCCACAGAGTGAGTTCAATACTAGCCTGGAGTACAATGGGGAACCAATTTCAAAACTAAAAGAAACAAAACAAAAACCAAATCCAAGAAGGTGAATGGTTAAGTAGGGTGGGGCTTGGGTCAGGCCGGGGGTTCAACAGGGCTGTGACCTCTCTGACCTCTTACTGTCCAGAGCCAGGCTGCCTGGCTCTAACCCTGGGTGCCAGGGTCTTAGTGTCCCACATATAAGATGTGGATGGTACCTACGTCTCTATAAGGCTTTGGGGAGGAGTAACGACACATGGAAAGGGTGTCAGGCAGTACACAGGACACAGCGCCAAGGTCCATTGTCCTTCATGTCACTTGGTATTTTATGAGACAGGCCCTCAGCGGGCTGTATAATAGGAGTCACCCTCAGCAAGTTATTTCTAAGCTCGCCGATGTTCTCAGTTTTCTGGGAATCTTTCCTGAGATCTCCATGGTAACTCTCACCCTGTACAGGCAATATCCATCATGGGTGCAGGGCTCAGGCTCATTGATGGGGAGGAAGGAGAGGTGTGAGGAGAGGGTGTTGGAGCCCTCAGAAAGGGAGAGAGGAAGACAGGGAGGACCAGGGCACTCTGACTCCCAAAGCAGGAGATAGAACAGAGGGAGTGGAGCTCGTTGGGAGGGCAGACGTTGGCAGTATCTCGCAGGGGAGGATGGAGGGCACCTATGGACCTGCTGGTGGTGCAGGGCCCTTTGACACTCAAAGGAAGACACCACTTCTCAGAGCCCGAGCCACACTCACAGGAAGCAGTTCTGCTTCAGCGCGCCATGAGAACACACGGAGTCTGAGCAAATAAACTCACCTGTAGTGGCTCCCAAGTATCCTCTTGATGCTCCAGGTCACGGGACATTGAACATCTGTTCAGATAGGTTCTGCCTTGCAGACAACCTCTGCAGAATAGCTCTGGAGCCAGGGCAGAGAAAAAGGATAGAAGTGTGTGCAATGAGTCAGCAAGAAATGGGCCAAGACAGAGTTGAGCTGGGGTTGGGGGTGCTGGAGGAAGTCTATAGGCTGAGACACAGGCACCTGTGGTAAGAGGGCAACAGAGTGCTCAGAGCCGGCAAGGACAGAAACCCACAGGAGGCACCCAGATTGGGGTTCCTACACCCAAACAGTCAGAGTCAGCTCTCTAGGGTCTCTGCAGAATGTCCACGTGTTTGCTTTCATGATATCTCCCTTAAGACAAAAACCAAAGATGTGGCTGAACCATGGGGAGGGCAGAGGGCAGTGTACTTGGCGGGAGCCGGGAGGAGCACTTCCTAGAGATCTGTCTGCTGACAAACGCTGGTGGAGCACTTGGGGCTCTGGGTTCCCTTCAGCTGTGCTCTTAGGCAAGTCTTCTGCCACTGAGCTACATTCCCAGCCCTTTTCAATTGTATTTTGAAACAGTCTAAGTATGTAACCTGGACTAGCTTTGCATTCTCAAGTGGTAAAAGGAGCTGCGGGAGGCGTTCCGGCACCCGGCTAGCTTTACCCGAAATAATTACACAGAAACTGTATTCATTTAAACACTGCCTGACCCATTATATCTAGCCTCTTTTTGACTAACTCTCACATCTTGCCTTAACCCATATCTAGTAATCTGTATTGCCACTTGACTGTGGCTTACTGGGATGAGTCTAAACCAGTGTCCGTCTAGGAGAGGAGAGCCATGCCTGATTTAGCTTTCTTTCTCCCAGCATTCTGTTCGGTCTATTCCACCTATCTAAATTCTGCCCTATCAAAAAGCCAAAGCAGTTTCTTTATTTGACCAATGAAAGCAACACATAGAAAGAAGACCCTCCTACACCACTCTGTAGCAGATAGAATGATAGCCATTCTCTACCCTGTATGGTTGGATCCAGGAGAGATCTTAAAATGCATGCAACACTGAAGGTAGCTGGCATGCAGGGTGGGCAAAGATCTTCAGACCCGGCCTGAGAGTACAAAGCCCAAATCTGCTTCTGCCTTGCTCCTTAGCGAGCAATCTAGACTCAACCGGTTACTTTTCTTGTTGCTATGGCAAAAATACCTGACCAAAACTAGCTTAAGGAAGTAAAGGTTATTGTGGCTCACAGCTCTAGAGAACCCAGTCCACGATGGGAAAGCATGTCAGCAGTCAGCTAAGGTGCGGCTGCAGGGACAGGATGCTGGTTTGTCATATTGCATCTGCATTCAGGAAGCAAGAAAGGATGGGAAGTAGGGCCAGGCTATTGGACCCCAAGACCCCATCATAAGAGACCCACTTCCTCCAGAAAAGTCCCACCTCCTAAAGGTTCCACAGCTTTCCCAAAGGGCATCATCAAACAGGGACCAAATGTACTAATACATGAGCCAGTGAGGGACATTTAATGTCCATACCACAGTACCCACCCGCAGGATCACACGGGATACTGTGTGGCCTAGTCGCAAAGAATCTGACCCTTTCTGGGAAGATAGGAGCAGAAAGAGAAGTAGAGGATCACAGCCTTGGCTTTGAGACCTGGGAGGAATTCAGGAACAGAAGGGATGGGAAGAAAGGGACCACGATGGGAATTCAAGTGATTCTTCTCTGAATGCAGACCAGCTCAGCTTGGCAAGACAGTCTGTAACAGCACCAGGAGTCCGGACTGAGAAACAAACCTTTGTGAAAACATGGCTGGCTTGAGGCGCGATTGTGGTGGGACCTGCAGCTGGGCTTTGCGGGCCTTCCTGAGCAGAGGGCATCATGGTGGGCAGGAGTGGGGCACACACACAGGTGGGTCAGAGGACACTGGATGCAGCAAGTAGAACCTGCTGCCTCTCTTCCCTTTCCCACATGCTCCCGCAGTGTGTATAGTCAGGAAATCCTCGGGGAAGCCTTCGCATGCACTGGGCCTGCTTTCCAGGCCCGGGCCCCATAGGCCATCGGTCTTGCTTTTACTTTATTTCCTGCCCTTATTTGCCTTCATTAGTTGATGACTCCTAAGTTGTTTTCCCCAAGAACGATTTCCCCTGTGCTTATTTGTCACGGGGCTACATACACCAGTCTGCAACGGAAGTGATGGTCCCATTTTGCAGAAAGACCAAAGGGTGGATGGGAAAGGTCACAGCCGGTCGTGACTGGCAACAGCCGGTCGTGACTGGTGTTGCCAGATGCTCCACTCCAAACAAACAGACGTGAGCGGGAGAATGAGGGACCGCTTCTCCCAGGCCATCACTCAAGGCTTGCGGTTCTTCCCACACAGTTGTGACTAACTTTCTGCTTAGTTAAAGATTCCAGCCTGCATTACAGGAAGACGGTCTGGTTCCAAGCTTAGGAGGCTTTCTGTAGATCTGTTCCTGCCTTCAAGGTACTTTCGCTTTGAAATTAAGGACGTGACTCCAGGTTCAAGGTGAGAGCGGAAGGAGTAAGGAATGGAACGCCACCTTTCAGGTCTCACTCATTCCAGACACACTCTAATTAACTCTGCCAGGAAAATAATTGGCCTCGATTGGGCGGATCTGATTGAAGATCTAAATAACCTTGCTGAGCAGTGTTTAGACTCCAGCTTCTTGTGCCGGGTGCAGTTATTATGTGTCCTGCATGTTAATTGCATGCTAAGTGGGGGAAAAAATAACACCCAGGCGCGTCTATAGGATGCCAACGCTCTCTTAATCTCTGCATAAAGTGGCGCGTGGGGAGCTTCTAGAAAGTTCACTTTGCCCAGGCAGTTTCTCAGAAGCTCATTTGAAGGTGATTATTGGAACCCACATTATTTGCCGGCAGTTAGCGGCAACTCCCCCGGCCCCAGCAGCCTTTACAGTGGGCTGAGCACAGCTAGGGCGAGCAAGTCTGCAGAATGAGCCAGCCATGGGTCTGGGGCATGGCTGTGGCGTGGCTTAGGAGAAAGGAAGAGAAGGAGAAGAGGGTCCTTCTGGACAGAGGCTCTGTTACCGTTGAGTGCAGAACATCCCCTACCTGCTCATGTGTTTTAAAACTTGGTACCCAGCTAGAGGCCCTGGTTCGAGGTCATGGATCCCTGAGGAAGTAAGGTCTAGCTGGAGGGAGTGGCTCACGTGAGGAGTGTCCTGAGATTTTATAGTCTGGGGACCCCTGCTTGTCCCCTCTCTGCTCCCTGGTTCACGGAGATCTGAGGCGCCCCAACCACATGCATCCCTCATCATGATGGACTGTATCCCCTCGAACCAGGAGCTAAAATCAACCCTTTCCACTCTAGTTGCTTTCTGTCAAGTGTTCGTCATAGTAACGAGGAAATAACGAATACAGATTCCTTACAGCAGTCTCTAAGCGAACATCTGGCTGAGGATGGAGGCTGGGAAAGAAGAGGCAGAAGCATACTTTACAAAGTCTTTTGATATTTTTCGAAGAATCTGAAGATATCTCACTACATTCACAAAAATGACTTCAAAAACATGACCTGAAATGAAAAAAACTAAAACTACAGAATTTCCGCAAACAAACATTAAAAAAAAAAAATAACACAGGAAACAATTATATCTGTAGGTTAAAGTAGGCACTAAAAACACGAGTGTAAAAGGAAAAAAGTAGATGGGACTTTATTAAAAATTTTACTTTAAAAAAATAATGTCCAATAAAATATGTTATTGTTTTGTTACATTATTTTACTTTTTTATATTTTGAGCTGTGGTACTGTTGTACTGTACCTTAAAAATGGCTTAGAAACTCCTTTCTATAAAGAAAACTACAATCCTAGATGACTCTGTTGACAAACTGCACCAAATATTCCGAAGAACGCTTCCCTCCACATAGTAACTCTTCAGTAGAACAGGAAAGGGTAGACCTCTCAAATTATTTTCTCAGACCAATGTAAACTTGGTCTCCAAACCACAGATTTAGGAAGTTCACAGGCCACTCTCATTCACATATTGTAAATAAAACACAGCTGACAAACCAGCAATATATAAAAGATCATACATTATGGTCAAGTTGAGTTTATTGTTTAACATTAGAAAATCAGTCAGTACAGTTTATACCGGTGACAGTCAAGAAAAACTACATAGTTTTCTCAAAGGATACAAAAAAGTACATTGTAAGAGTCTATATCCATTTGTCAATGTTTTCTTTTCCTCACAAGGTAACTTTTCAAAACGGTACAGCAACTCAGGCATGATGGTGAAAATACATGTAATCGCAGCAATGAGGAGCAAATGCAGGAAGCCTGCCATGATACATAAGTATGCACATGTATGTAGACATATGAACACATAATACATTATATACACAATAGATAAATGAATAACTATCCACAGCAAACATTTTTGTGGTGAAGCCTTTACCACTTATATGTACTATTTCACTTGTGACCTAAACCAACACTGTAAGGTTCAAGGTTTCGAGGCAAAAATGAGACTTGCCTTTTTTCTTAACAAATAATATAGTTGTGTAGGTAGACAAATGATTTAAATCTATAGATTATTGCCATTAATTGTCAGTTACCAAATAAATACAGGAAATACAGCAATGCTTATAATCCCATAGCAGAATTAAACATAAAATAAACTTTAAATACTGAAAACAGTAGTGTGTAAAATCAGAAAGGACTAGGTCTAGTGGCATATTTAGTTCAAGACAATGAAGTAATACTGAGAGGAAGAAAGTCAGACCTGAATGAATGGGGAATGCACAGCGACCATGGGCTGATAATATCCAGAGAGAATGACAAAGCTGAGGGGGAAACATGGTAATGATGTTATCTTTTGATAACAGGGTTGAAATTGATTGGGAGATTTAATAAAATTCTCGTCAGAGTCCCTGCATATCCCTACAGGTGTACATTCACGCGAAAATTGATGAACTGACTCTAAAATTTATGGGGAAATACAATTTCCAGGTATCCAAGGAAACGCGATGCCAAGACTGGCCTCATAAGATGCCAAGACCTTCTTACTAAGCCAGTCTTCGATGTTAGGACAAGAATAGGCTGGGCAGGGGATTTATTTAG